TCATCAGAGGAAATTTGTACCTGTACGTGGTATGTCTTGCTTTTATTTTCCATCCCCTCTCTTCAGTCCTTTGCCCCTCCTTATTTATAAAAGCTGTGTTTCCATTTTTTTCTTCTATTCTTTTTTCCTTGTCCTTTCTTTCCTTTCCTTCTCCCCCTCCTTTGTTCCTCGTCTCATTTGAACATTTTCTTCCCGTTTCCCAATATCTATTACACGTATTTGTCCTTATTTATGCTTTCAGTTTCTCACACCAGAGAAACAATGTGGTATTTAAACATGTGTGTCCGATTATCTCACTTAAGAGTATGGTCTCAAGGTGCACCTGTTGAGCTAGAGCTGTCTCAAGCTTATCCTTCTTTACGGCACAATAGTCCGCTGTATTTTAAAAAAACAAAAACAAAAAACACTTCTGTAGGAACCAGCCTTAAAGCTCGAACTTGACCAAGGGGCGATGAGAATGGAAAATAAAGACGCAGAGAAACCGGTTAAAATCTGGAGGGCCAGGGGGCTCATGTCTCCCTTCAACACAGAGCCCCAAGTGACTGGTGCACCTTGGTTTTATTCACTCAGACATGGACATGAGCAGTCAAGAGTTACACAGGATCCCTGTGTCTCTCTCCCTCTCTGGTATTTGTCCAGGTTGACAGCCTAACCTCAGGTGGTTTTTTCCCCTGTAGCATGTTAGTATGCTTGCATGTCCTCCTTCTTCTCAGTGCTCACCGAGGAGGCCAGTTAGGCCTTAATTCCCATCTGGTCTTCCACAGTCGTCTGTTTCCATTCATCAGTTGCCTCACCCCTCTTCTTGCGCCTGAGGTTGATGCCTGCCTCGCAAGCACAAGGACCCGAGTTCAATCCCTGGTACCAAAAAAAAAAAAAGAGAGAGAGAGATAGTATTGCACAAAGTAGAACATATTTGTCAATGAAAATTTGTTATAAAAGTTAAACAGTAGTAAAATACTCTATGTAACTGTCTTAGTTACTTTCTTGTCCCTGGGACACCCACAATTTAAAGGAGGAGAGGTTTGTTTTAGCTCACAGTTTGTAGAGGTTTCAGTCCATAGTCATCTGGCTCCAGGGCAGGGTGGCACAGCAGAGGGCGTGGCAGAGGAGGTTGCTCCTGGCACTGCAGCAGGAAGCAGAGAGATCGAGGGAGGAGGGGGGAAATAAACCCTTCCAGGACTCACTCCCAGTGACCCACCTCCTCCCAAAACCCCTCCTTTGAGCTCTTGAGCTTTGGGTGGGCCTCTAGATACAAATCATAACAGCAGCAAAAAGAGCCTGTAGCATCCCATAGTTTAGTGCCACGTTTTGTTAATCTACTCATGAGTTAATGAATTTGAGGGTTTTCGGCCAGGGATTTAGCTCAGTGGTTCCATCGCCTACGTGGCAAGCACAAGGACCCAAGTTCAATCCCCAGTACCAAAAAAAAAAATTAGGGGTTGTTTCCACTTTTTTGGCCATTAAATTATTGCCAGTGAACATTTGTGTGTATTTTGAGTAAACATGGATTTTTATTTTCCTTGGGGAAAATCAAGAGTGGAATTTTCTGGGTTATACAATTAAATTTATATTTAACACTTTAAGAAACTGCTGGGGGCGGAAAGAAAGTGCTGAAATGTTTTTTAAAATGGTCACACCTCTTACAGTCTCATCAACAATGTACCGGGCTTTCAGTTTCCCACATCTTCCTCGGTCTTTTTGATTATGGCTATTTCAGTGTAATAATACAAGGGATGTACCATTGTGTTTTCAATTTCTATTTCCCTCATGATTCCTCATGTTGACATTTTTCATGTGATCATTAGCCTATTTGTACATCTCATTTGGTGAAATGTCAGTTCAAATCTTGCCCCATTTTGTATTTGGGTTGTTCGTCATCTTAATACTGAGTTGTAGGAGTTCTTTATATGTTCTGCGCATAAGTTCTTTATCAGATACAGCTTGCAAATATTTCCCCCTGGCTGTGGCTTTTTATTTTTCTTAATGGTGTGTTTATAATAATTTTATTAAAATATAGTTCACATACCATGCAATTCACAATTTTAAAGTGTAAAATTCAGTGACTGACTGATGTACTTACTGAGCTGTGTTGCCATCACCACCATCAATTGTAGCATATATTAGCCTCAAAGAGAAACCTCAGACCCATCAATACTCACCGCTCATCTGTCACGAACCCCTTTCCAGCCCAGATAAACACTAATCTGCTCCCAATCTCTGATTTACCTCTTCTAAATATTTCATACGAATGAAATCATATAATATATGGTCTTTTGTGACTTTTTTTACTTATTGTTTCCCAATTTCATCCATGTTATAGCATGTACAGTATTTCATTCCTTATTGCTAAATAATATTCCATTGTATGGATATATCATTTTTTATTTAAGTTATTCATCAATTGATAGACATTTGAGTTTCCAATTTTTGGCTGTGTTAAGTAATGCTCCTGTGAGCATTTGGATATAGGTTTTGTGTGAGCATATATTTTCATTTTTCTTGGTGATAAACGTAGGAGTCAAATTGCTGTCATAGGGTACCCAGTACTTAACCTTTTGAGGAACTTCCACACTGTTATCCAAAGCAGCTACACTACTTCTGGCATAGTATGGGGATTTGAATATCTCCACACAGTTGCCAACATTTGTTACTATCTGTTTTTCTCATTTATAGCCATCCTAATGAGTATAAAGTGGTATCTCATAGTGGTTTTAATTTGCACTTCCCTAATGCCTAATAATGTTGAGTATCTTTTCACATGCTTGTTGGGCATTTATATATGTGTTAAGTAGAGGTCCCATATCAGCTGTATAATTTGCAAAAATGTTCTTCCTTTCTGTATGTCATCTTTTCAATATTTTAATATCTTTTTGTAGTATTTCTTTTCTTTTTTTTCTTTTTTTTTGGGGGGGGTACCAAGGATCCAACTCAAGACCTTGAGCTTGCAAAACAGGTGGCAGAACCACTACGCTAAATCCCGGGCCCTTTTCATGATAGCTTTTGAAGCACAGTATTTAATTCTGATGATATTTGGTTTATCAAGTTCTTGTTTTGTAGCTTCTACTTTTGGTACCATACCTAAGTCTTTGCTTAATCCAGTGTATAAAGCTTTTTCCACGGTGTTATCTTCTAAGATTTTATAGTTTCAGCTCTTAAATTTAGGTCTGGTCCATTCTGAGTTGGTCCATTTTGAGTTGATTTGTCCATATAGTACAGTATTTAATCATGTTTTTGGAAAAGCAGAAGTTTTTTTTTTAATTAAAAGATAATTGTACATCTTTTGAGAGTATGGTGTGATGTTTTGGTACATTTATAAGTTGTTTGATCAACTCTTTATATTCATTATTGCTCATCTTTTGTGGAATAATCAAAATCCTCTCTTCTAGCTATTTTGGCAGAAGTAATGAATTTGGATAAAAACCAGTGCATACATTTATATTTTTCCTTTACATATCATGGTTTTGGTGTCATATTTAAGAAATCTTTAACCCAGAGTAACAAGATTTTTCTTTTTTGAGAAATAAACGTAGTTTTAGCTGTTAAAGTTACTGTGCTACAACTTGAGTCCTTTTTGTAGGTGGCACGTTGTAAAGTTCTAAGGTTATTTGTGTCAACGGTAAATCTCAGAGTGTGCAGAGATAAAAGCAAATTGCAAAATGCACTTTGCAGTAACATGCCAGTCGTGCACATTGCAAAGGCATGGTGATTTTATATATCATTCTTAGTCAAAGATGTAGGTAAAATTCTTCACATCAGAATCTCTGGTAAGGTTTCCTCTGACATGACACGAGAAAGGAACTAGGACTGGCGGTAAAAAGAATCTTCAAATTTATTTGCACTAATTTTAGGTTGAAATAAATTTGGCACAATATTAACAATTTTGACTTGGAGTGGTTTATTGTTATACCTTTTTACTCTGAGCTTTTTGTATTTCTCAAAATACACAGATGATTCAAAGCAAGAACCATAGAGACCACCACTTCTTTAGCTCAGTCCCCACAGGGTTGCAGTGCTGAGGTGAAGTACTAGGCACATAGCCTGCCTGTTTGCTCCGAGCACATTCTGCTTGTACAGAAGGAGAATTCTCTTTATTTGAATTCATTCTCACACTAAGGTTATGATTTCCCAGTTTTGCTTCCACAGCAAACCCCAGTCTGTGCCACACCCAGTTCCCCAGTTCCCTGGAACAGCAGAGCCCCAGCTCAGTAGCTGCCTTTGACTGGCTTTCTTCTTTCACTCGTTTCCCGTCTAAAAGTATATCAGGCCTTCATAAGGAAAGGTCAGCTTCTACTTAATATCTGTCCACTCTCGCAGCCCCATAGGGTGCCCACAGGAGGCCTCCCCAGATGTGTGGGTGGGGAGCAGTGTGATGCACCTTGCTGGCTTCTAGGTCAGGCCCCTGGGAACAACCTGCCCCCAGTTCCCTACCATAACTCAGGAACACATCCACGTAGGCAGAAGTGGCCATGTGCAGAGGACAGACCACTGGCCTTGGAGTCCAAGGACTATTCCAGCATCTGTCTCTGGAGAGCCATGCAGCTTCTTGTGCACGGCCTTATATGTGCTCTGACTCTTAATGCTTCTGTAAAATTGCTATGAAGAGATGATCCCTTTCTACTCACAGGCTTTTGGAGGGTCTGATGACAATGTGTACATGAGTATATGGAAACAGACATGGAGGGGTGTGTGTGTGATTTATATTGGGGCCTGGATCCTCAGCCCTGCTGCCTGTCCAATCTGCCCACCTGAGGGCCTCCTCTCTCTGCTGGCCTCCTCTGTGCCCTATTCCCTATTTTAAAATGTACTCCCTCCCTCCCCAGCCTCCTTCCTTTCTCCTTTTCTTTCTATCCCCAGTCCTGCAGGCAGCCTGGCTCCTTCCTTTCAAACATGGTCATGCATCAGCAAACTGTTGGCTGACTCAGACTGACTGCAAAGGGTGTCCCCCTTCCTTGACAAGATGAGGCACCTGCAATGACAGATCTTCTCTCTGATCCTCTCAGGCTCAGGCCACAGCGTCACCACATACGTCACCCACTCATGGAGGTGGCCGCCCAATGCCCATGCCCGTCCGCTCCACATCTGCCGGCTCCACCCCCACCCACTGCCCACAGGACTCACTGAGTGGAGTCGGGGGCGACGTGCAGGAGGCCTTTGCACAAGGTGAGTGTCTGGGCCCAAGTCTAACAGGGAGCCCAAGGGACTGGAAAGTATGTATAAGATTCCCACTGAGGTTTTTTCCACTTCCTTTCCTATGTGTTCTTCTCTTTAGGTGATCAGATGGCTTAGCTTAGGTGTCAGGTTTATGGTATAAATAAGTCAAGTGCTGGTCCCTTCTCAGTAGATGGGCTGGTCTCCAGCAGAGGTCTGCAGGCTTCATGTATCAAAGAATAAGCCACCTGGGGTTCTGTGCTCTTTCTTCTGGGATGTGCCTTGCCCTCTTCCCCAAATTGGCCTGTGCCACCTCCAGAGGAATTGGGTGGAGTAATCTAAAGTCACATACTGGGCCTAGAAGGCCCTTAGAGCCAGCAAGAGCAAGAAGAGTGGTCCTCTAAATAGGACCTAGCTAAAGGTCCGCCAAGTACGGCATTGCCACAGCCATCTGAAGAGCTAGAGAACCACAGTGTATAGTTGGGGAGGAGGCCTTGAGGGAGCTGGGGGCTGGGGACAAGAAGGTACGAGGTGGTGGTGTTGGAGGATAAAGCCCACCCGCCCCGCCAAGGGTAAGAATGCCTCAGTGGAAAGCTTGTTCTGGAACCCAACTTTTTTTATATTGCAAAGCATGGACTTGACAGGCTCTGCTGTCCCGGAGAAGACGGAGTGGAACGGTCTCCTGGTGTGGGGGAACAGATGGAGCTGCTGTGTCCCCATCTCCCTTAGCTGTCCTGTATCTGTGCCCAAGAGCTTGGCGGACAGAGGCATCTGCTGGGCTCTCTCTTCTCGTGCCCCACCTGCATTGCCATCTGCTCTGACTCCCCTCAGGTACAAGGAGAAACCTCCACAGTGACCTGCTGGTGGCCGCTGACTCCATCACCAACACCATGTCATCCCTGGTGAAGGAGCTCCACTCAGGTGATGCCCAGAGCTCCCCACCAGCCTTCTGCCCCCTGCCGTGCCCACCCTCCTCAGCGCCCTGGTGGCACAACCCCCTCTTTTTACCACTCAGTTTTGCCTCCTAGGAACAGGAGGCCCTAGTGACCCTTCACTAGCGTGCCTTCCTCCCCTACATGATCATAGAGGGGCAGTTACACATTTAGGTTTATCTGGCAGATGCATCTGGTGGAGCAAACACAGTTCTGAATGTAAAGAAATCCAGATCTTCAGTGCAGCCAGGCCCCGACCTGACCCCTCACATCCTGCCTGCACTTCATCCACAGCGGCTCTTTCCCCAGGCCTGACCGCCAGCCTGTTGTGAAGCTTTCCTGGATGTCAGCCACCACGTCAGCCTCCGGTGCTGGGCTTTCCCCAGCTGCCTTTCTGCTGTCTCCTGCCGATTTGATTTCAGAACCCTGTCCTCTCCTTTTCTCCACACCAGGCTCTGATCTCACCTGAACTTTGTGACCTGCTGCTTCCTTTGCTCCTCACATCCGGTCTTATCTGACTTCTTTCGCTGTCTCCATTTCTTAGCCACTGCAGCAACTTCCCAGAGACCTCTGCCTTGTAGCATTTTCCCCTCACATAAAACCCAGGAAAGAGAACGAAAACAAAAGGCCTTTCACATAACATCATACATCCAAGCGTCCCCATGACTCCATCTTCGGTACAACCACCTAATACTCATGAGTAGTTTCCAGTGGTGGGATTCCCCTGTGACATGTTTTGTAAGTGAGCCCCTTTCCCAAGCTCGGGGGGCCCTCCTCCGACCCTTTTTACCTAACATAGTGCTTGTGAGTACCTTGCAATAGTTTCAGGGGGTTAAGTAAAAGTACAGAGCAGTTTGTCCATGGACTATTCATATACTTTTAGGGAAGATGAGCCCAGGTGTTTTTTCAGTAGGATTTTCATGGGGACCAAAACAAGGTCTGGCACACACCTGCTCTGAGCCCTGTTCTCCTTCAGAAGAAAACTTATGTAGTCTGCCTGTTTTCCAGTGCAGGTCAAACCCAGATTGTCTTGTTTCAGGAGCTTCATGGTGCCCCCCTACCCATCTGTTCCTGTTTCTTAGCCCTGCAGAAGCACAACCCCCTCCTTACACACATGAACATGCTTACACACACACACACACAGAGCATGGTAATGGCTTTCAGAGATAACTTCACAGCTGATTAGAAGGTTTCCTCCCTGATATATTTCTCTCAGAGGCTGGAAATCCCACTCTGTTTTGGTTCTTTTTTTGTTGTTATTGTTTTTTGTTTTGTTTTGTTGTACCAGGGATTGAACTCGGGCCCTTGTGCTTTGCAAGGCAGGCGGTGGAACCACTGAGCTAAATCCCCGGCCCCTGGAAATCCCACTCTGAGAGGGAATTTCCCAGGGGATTTTAGACATGGAGATGAACTACACTTGTGCCTCAAGGCTACTTTTTACCATTTATGCAAATCAGTGGCTTCTGGGCTTGAACTAGGATGAAAGTATGATGTAACTGCTAGTAACTGTAAATCACTAAACATAAAGCATGTGGAAACTAAATAGCTTCACAAAGTTAAGCATTTATAGAGATACTGAGCAATCTCATAGTAGGAAGAGTGGTTTTAACCAAATTATGTAGTGTCATTTAGAAGGTACCTTATCATCATACTGTCCAGTTCTCTTATGACAGAAATGTGATGAATGATTATCAGAAAAGTGATCTCCCTGGAATCATGCTGCTTGGGGGAACACAGACGGCCCTAGAATTTAGATCTCAAAACATGAGCCAATGCTCGTGCCCTATCCATGACAAGAAGTCAAACCCAGGGTTCTGTGAGGCCTGTTTCCTTGACACATTTTGCTCCTGAGCACCAAAGTGTGTAAGTGAATGTAGAATAAATCCACCTTCACTCCATCATCCCTCCAAAATGCAGAAATAAAGTATTTACAGGTGCCAGCTCTTCAGCCAATGGAAGAGCCTTGCCCGGCACCAACATATTCTTACCATCTCCTTGACGATGGCTTCACAAAGTTTTGTTAGAATGAAAACATACTCAGATTGCCCTTTCTTTTACTCTGTAGGGTGCACATCTGACATCTCCATGACCTGTCCTCATCTTTTAAAAAAATACATTTACAAATAATAGAAGTGGGCCCGATGTTGTGGTGCATGCCTGTAATCCTCGAACTCGAGAAGCTTCGACAGGAGGATCACCACAAAGTTGAGGCTGGCCTGCACTACATAAAGTTCAAGGCCATGATGAACTACATAGACCCTGCTTCAGAAAGGAAGGAGGGCGGGAGGGAGGGAGGGAGGAAGACAGGGAAGGAGAGAAGAAGTGAATCATAGAGTTCAAAGGGTCTTAGAGGTCATTTAATCCAACTTGCCACCAATTGTAAAAGTTCTCTGAAAAGCTGGCCATAGTGACACATGCCTATAAGCCCACCTACTCAGGAGACGAAGGCAGGAAAATCTAAAGTTTAAGGCCAGCCTGAACAACTTTTAACTTAGCAAGACCCTGTCTCAAAAACTACAGAAACAAAAAGGGCTGGGGACGTGGCTCATTGGTACAGCCCTTGCCTAGCTTGCATAAAGCCATGAGTCCAATCCCCAGTACCCGGAACCTGGGCGGGGGGTGTCTGCTAATATTCCAGTGAGCTCACTCATGACCAGCTCTAATCACTGGAAAGTTCTTCCCTGATTGGGAGCCCAAATCTGCCTTTCTGTAGCTGATTTATCTTTTTGGCCCATCTGCAGCTCCAGAAGCAGATCAGTCGCTCCTTTGCAGGTTACCTTTCAAGTGTTTGACAGTAGATAATGCGGTACTTCCCACATCTTCTCTTTAGATGACACTACTCGGCCCCTTTAGTCATCCTGAATGATGTGATTTTTGCTTTCCATCCTGTTTCACCACACCAGAATTCGCCCAGATTTTTAAGGCCCTGCTTTCTTGTCCAGCAGGCCTGGCGCCACTGAGCTACATCCCCAGCTCAAGGCCCTAATTAAAGTGAACACCCCGGGCTGAGCACACCACTGCATACGGCAGAGGGCCTTGTCCTGCGGAGCTCGCAGGATCCAGGATCCATGACTGCCCTTCGGTCGCCTGTGCAGCCCACAGAGCCGCAATGCACTGTGCAATCACTTTAAGTTTGTTGTCAATTAAAATTTCCCTTTTTCTTTTCTTCTTTTCCTCCCCCAGAAGTCAGTGTTTGGGTATTCCTCTGCTGTGCAACTTTCTTGAACCTGAATGTAAGAGATCAGGTGTATCCCTGGCATATACAGGTGTGTCCCAGGGATACACCTGGTATCTATCCCTGTTAGGTATCACTGTCCCAGGGAAAACAGGCTGTCCCTTGCACCTGCTGTGGTCACCAGTGAAGTTTGCAGCATGGCGAACAGCGTAGGTGACATCAGGGTGCTTTGCTTCTTACAGGCTCCCCTTAGGGCTTGGGTGTGGCGCTCACAAGGTATAGAGGCAAGTGTGGGGCCCACGGAGGCCTGCAGTTGTGAGCCTTTAGCCAGGCTCCCATCCCAAGCCTCCTGAGTTGCCTTATGCACCCTCCCATGCCTGTGCTGTGCCAGAGGGTCACTGGCCTCCTTGACTTGTTTTCACAGCAGAGGAAGGAGAGCAGATGCAGAACAGGAAAGACAGAGGTAAAGGCGGCCCAGAGGACCCTAGTGTGGATGGGGAGCCTGCGCTGTACAGGCGGGGCCTTGTGCTCCCCTTTGTTCTGTCCTCCTTCCTCCCAGGGCCCACCTTCCCCAAAGCCTTAGGCTGCCAGCATCTTTCCACTTGCTTTCCCAGCCAACCGTTTAGTCCCTAAAGTAGTTGATGTGGGTTGATGGTCAGAAGCTTCCTTGTTTTCCGATACTGGGGTAGATGGTTGGGATACACAAAATAGACACAAAACACAAAAATGATCTCTTGCCTCAAGATCTAATTAGGACAGCCGGGCGTGGTGGTGCACGCCTGTAATCCCAGCACTAGGGAGGCTGAGGCAGGAGGATCGCTGTGAGTTCGAAACTAGCCTGGGCTATGTAGTGAGATCCAGGTCAGTCTCAACTACATAGTGAGACCCTGTCTCAAAAAAACAACAACAACAAAAAAGGTCTAATTAGGACAGCCGGGCGTGGTGGTGCACGCCTGTAATCCCAGCACTAGGGAGGCTGAGGCAGGAGGATCGCTGTGAGTTCGAAACTAGCCTGGGCTATGTAGTGAGATCCAGGTCAGTCTCAACTACATAGTGAGACCCTGTCTCAAAAAAACAACAACAACAAAAAAGGTCTAATTAGGACAGCAAGACTAGATAAGCAAAATGAATGGGAGACGAAACAACAGAAAACATTAATCATAAAGCTGAATTGTGTAAGAGTTTCTAAAAAGAAGAGCTTGGTGTAGGTTGGAATGACAAAATGGTTTTGTAACTTCTGGAAGAACAGAAGCCACCAATGGATAATACTTTTCTACTATTTGTTATGTGGGAAAGCTGTGGCAGATATACAAGGAAGCACTTGTATAATCTCATCTTACCCTTTCCCCACTGGAAGGTACGCACAGCCCTTTCAGCACTGGGAGATTCCACACGTGTAGCTACTTAACAGCGCTGATTGGGCTGAAAGTGGGTCTTTCTGACTCCAGACTTCATGCTGCTACTCTTCATCCTTCAGTGTTAGGCTGACCAGGTAACAAAATTCTCTTGGGACAGGTGAACATTGGCTATTACTTCGCTCATATTACTATACCTGTTGCTACATTCCTCCAGAACATAAGCAAATGTGTTTCATTGTTTTTCTCCTGTGCCTAACAGTGTCTGGCTCTGTGGAGGATGTCAGCGAGTGAACCACCTAAGGAAATCAGCAGGGAGATGGGACAGGGGAGAGGGGTGGGTGGAGCAGCCAGGCCGCTTGGGGCATGCAGGCGGGGAAGAGGAGGGATGAGAGGCCTCGCTGTGCATACTAAGCAGCGAGCCTGTAGCTCAGCCTTCTCGGTGACATCAGAGTCCCAGAGTCTAGGCAGGGTTTGGGGAGACCACTGCATAGGTCCTAAGTGGCAGATCCTGGATTCCTCTGGAACTCTCCAGCTGCAACCCCATGTTTTGGTTGGAGCAGAATGAGTAGACTAAGTGAAGGAAAGAATCTTAGCCAAGGTGGAAAGCAGTCAAGTGGGAGAAACAGGCAAGAAGCTATGGTGGGAGGGCAGCCCTCGCACGGTGGTTCTAGAGTGTGGTGTGCCCACAGGGACCAGTGTGGATGAAAGAGGAGGTCTTCGGAGGCTCAGGGGGCAAAGAATTTCTAAGGGCAGTGAAATTGCCAAGAAGGCGACTGAGGGAAGAAGAGAAGCATCCTGCAGGGGCTAAAACTATCTCATGAGCCAGAGCGAGGCCTCGGAGAAACGGGACAGTGGCTGGATGAGGCCATGCAAATGGCACATTTGGCCACATGGCAGACGGACAGAAGCAGAGCAGCAGGTCAGGTGCCCAGAATGCAGAGGGGACTCCCCTTCCCTGACAAGAGGGGAAGAGCGGAGATGGCTAAATTCCCCTGTCAACATAGGCCCCAACACACTCCTGCATGCACACTACACCAAGCCCCGTGAGTGATCTTGGCTGAGGCTGTACAAGCTACTGCCTTGGCCTTCCTGCTCCAGGAGTTCTCAGGCCTCAGCTCAAAACATAGGCCTTATCTCTCCTAAGAACTTGCCAGAAACCTCCTGGCCAAGGTGCTTTTAGAAGTCTTTGACCTCAGTTTCCCTGGCAGCATTTCTTCTGTCTCTGTGCCGCTTGCTCTTAGTCACCTCCCTGTTGGCATACACAGTAGAGTTCCTGTACATGAGAAACCTTTTGTAACAGTGCCTGAACTTCTGTTTTTATGGCTTTTGGGTGTAATCCTTGAGAACAAGTGTTAAGAGTTGGATAGGAATTTTTTAATGAATTTTATTTTTTGTTTTTGTGGGGGTTTTTTCTGTTTTTTTTTGTTTTTTGTTTTTTTTTTTGAGATAGGGTCTCACTGTGTACTTGAGACTGACCTGGAACTCACTACATAGCCCAGGCTGGTCTCGAACTCACAGCGATCCTCCCGCCTCAGCCTCCCAAGTACTGGGATTACAGGCGTGCGTCACCACGCCCGGCTTAATGAATTTTATTTTACCCCTTCCCCTCCCTATGTATAAAAGCTTTGTTTCCATTTTCCCTTCTATTTTCACTGTTTTTCTTATCCCTTCCTTTCTTCCTCCCCCTTCCCTTGTTCCCTCTCCCATTTGAATACTTCCCATTTCTCAATATCCATTATACATTTCAGTCCTTATTTCCAGTTCAGTTTCTTACCCCAGAGAAACAATGCAATATTTAAACATGTGGGTCTGATTTATTTCACTTAGGAGTATGGTTCCAAGGTCCATCCATTTATCTATAAATCTCTGAAGTTCTTCCTTCTTTGTGGCAGAGTAGTACTCCATTGTATTAAAAAATTACTTCTTTATCCATTCCTCAGTTAATGGGCATTTGGGCTGTTTCCAAGATTTCCTATTACAAACTGTTTTAAATGCGTGATTGTCTGATTTTCAACATTGTGCTGGTCCTAAGATACAATGTAGCTCTTATGTGGATAGCACCACAAGACCTAGGGTTTTCATGGATGGGCCTCCTGGTTCTCCTCCTCCACCACCACCTAGGCGTGAGTTGACTGTGGACTGACACAGCACTAACTGCAGTCACCTGGGTCACCTGAGATCAGAAAGTACCAACCCTAAAGAGCCAAGGAGGGACAGAACATTAGCTTTCTGTGCTGATATCATATAAGCGCAGCTTGGTCAGCACCTGTCCACACGCAGTCTGCGTGATACAAAAGCCGTGAGAGCCAGGTGGGTCCCAGGCGCCCCGTCTGTATTCACCAGCTCGTGCCTCTGCCTCTTCCACCCTGGCCTTGTCTGGCCCCACACTGGAGAATGCTCTGACCCCCGGGTACCCTTCCTACCGTGCGTCCCCCTGCCACCCTCACCCCTCGTGTATCCAAGACTACACAGATGAAACACAAACTAGCTTCCTTCCCCATGTCACCCCAGCCAGCCCAGAGCTGTGTGTTGTGCTCCTGTGTCCCTCCCGGAACTGCCTTCCTGGGGTTGGGAGCTGCTGAGGAGCCCTGGCACACTTTCCACATGGTCTAGGCAGCAGTGGCCCTTGGAGGACAGGCACAGGCTCTGAGGCCCGGGCCGTGTTTGCCCTCCCAGGGTGAGCAGGAGCGAGCCGGGCATCCCAGAGCAGTGTCTGCAGGAGGGAAGCCCTGTCCACTTTCAGAGCCACAAACACTCCCCTGAACCCTTAAGGTAGCTTTGTTCCCCACATATCATCTTCCTTCTCCAGAAAAATGTTTGTCTCCTTGCTGCCTTATGTTAAGTGCGGTTGCTGGTTGTAGAAAATCATAGAACAAAGGGGAGAGGCGAGTCCAGAAGCCCCTGGGCTGGGGGGTCAGGAATGCTCGCACCCAGCAGGTGAGAAGAGCCCGGGTGTGACCTCCATGTTGTTTCTGCCCCTGCTGCCACAGGTTGACGGAGGAGCCCAGCACACAGGAACCTGAGTGAGTACAGCATGTCCTCTGCCTTTCCACAGCCCCTCTCCCTTCTTGTTTAGCATCTTCATTGGCCCATCTCTTAGGCGGACGGGCTGAGATACAATCAGGATTTTCCTGAAAGCCCAACTGCATCCGTCCCTCTCCCCTCAAGGCCACAGTGAACCTGCTCTGCCCTGCTTCCAGGCTGTGGCCTGGTGTGTGCTGGGCATGTGAGGGTGGGCCACAGGCACGGCCTCGGCCACTGATGCACGCTGAGGCAGGCTGCCCAAACTGGTGACGGTGAGCGGAGAGCAGCTGCCTCTGTGCCACCTCTGCCTCTGGTGCTTGTTTTCCACAACTACTGACTGCACCACAGCCGGAGCGCCCTGGGATCCCGTCACCCCAAGCTGTCAGCTTCTTGGCACTCCTGACCCACAGACACATACTGGAGCCATGCGAGATCACAATGCAAAGCACTCGGAGCAGCTTCCCAGGGGCCTAGTTGCACCGCACCTTCTCCCTCCCCACCGGCAGATATCACTGCCTTGAGGAATCTATCTTATTTTCCATCTCACTCTGCTCTAAGGCAATGCAGCTTCTGGATTTGCTGTCTAAAAGGAGGAGACAGAAGTGAGGGACAGCCAGGCATAGGGTACACACCTATTATTTTAGCACTCAGGAGGCTGAGGCGGGAGGATCACCTCGAGTTTGAGGTTAGCCTGGGCTACATAGTTTAAGTCCAGCCTGATCCATATAGCAAGACCCTGTATCCAGGGGCGGGCAGCGATTGAGCTCAGTGGTCCCACCACCAGCCTTGAAAGTGCAAGGTTTTGTGTTTGATTCCCGGTGAAAAAAAAAAAAAGGGACAGCCAGCCCGTGTGGGGCAAAGCCCCTTCACGAAGAGTAGCTGTGAGACTGCTTTTCATTTTCAGATTACTTCGGCTCGTTGCGCCCCCCGCCTTTTGTTTGTTTGAGACAGGGTCTCACTGTGGTTCAGGCTGACCTTGAACTCACTTGGTAGTCTAGGCTGACCTACAACTGTGGCAGTCTTCCTGCCTCGGCTTCCTGAGCGTTGGGATTACAGGCCTGTGCCAACACGCCCAGCTCCCCCATTTATTTTTAAAAGGCATCATCTTCAGTTACAGAGCTTCAGGACAGAAAAGCCAGGGCCACCGCTCAGTGGTCCTTTCCCAGTAGCACCATGCCCGCCCGGACTGCCTCAGCCCCACTCTAACCTCCCCTCCGGTAGCTGTGCCCTCACGGGCAGTCTCTGGTCAGGAGCCGCGAGGGCACAGGCCACACCTCCTCCCCACCTGGCAGTGCACATGCAGGTCCACAGCTATGTCACAAGGCCTGCCTGAGCCCCTCTCCCCAGGGCAGAGGGACGGGGCGGGCGGGGGTGAGTGCCACGGCCCCTCTCCTGGAGTGCTCGCTCCGGAACTCCACGCCACAGCTGGACTGAGCGCCAGGCCATCTGCTTCTGACTCCTGTTCCTTTCGACCCACATCAGGAGCTGTGGGGAACCAACCGCAGAGTGAGGTAAAAGGAGAGCTCTAAATCTGGCTTCCTGGCACAGTGGCCTGGGGCTGACGCTGCTTCCCTCCCACTCGGTCCTCGCACTCGTGCGGCCTCTTTGCCCTGCACCTCTGCCACAGCGCTCACCACATTCCAAACTCAGCATGGCAAACCAAGTTTGCTCTTCCATGGAAATATTTCCTGACCCTGTGACAGCAGTGACCGCAGGAGACCCTAGGCGGTCGGAAGAGAGAACGCCCGGGCAGCCCCTCCCCGCAGGCCCAGATCGGAGGCTCAGGGCAGCTGCTGCCGTGACTAACGGTGAGCTGTCTCGCACAGGCGCAGAGGACGCGGAGCAGGCTGGCACCGGCACCAGGCGGCGCTTCCCCCAGGCACATTCCTACCCCTCTCCGCTGCACACCTGGACAGGCTCGCGGCCGCCAGACGTCACTCCGCTGCCCCCAGCAGGGAGGGGGCAGACCTGCCTGGAAGGAGGAGCCGCGGCGGGCCTTCCCCTGCTCACCCGGCATGTCCTAGCATCTCCATTACTCCCCTTGGGGCACGGTTTCATCTCCGCATCAGGAATTTGCCAGGAGGTTGAAAAGAGAAAAGCAAAAGCACTACGCCCTGAGTCTGTGACCTGATGGGTCTCCTGGCGTCTGGCCAGCGCGTGGCAGCAGCCTAGCCCGGGAGCACGTGTTTCCTCCTTACCTTTGACCTTTACAAAACAACAGGTCTTGCGTTTATGCAAAGAGCTGCAGGCCTCGCTCACTTCTCTAGTCATTCACACCCTCGCCACATGCTAAAAATAGTCTCCTTCCTTTCCCTCGAACTGGTGAGGCTTCCGCCCGCCTGGTGCGCCCGCTGCCCCCGCAGCCGGGG